TCTGTAGAGCTCTTCAAAATGTTCTTATTTCGACATTACATGCAACATTCCTAAATCATCCAGGACTACTTAGTGCAACATGCACATTCCTAAATAATTCAGGTCTACTTTTATTTTATTATAGTCCCTCTATAATATATAAAGTTGCCATGTTATTTTTTACATGAGCTGAACACATTTTTTGAAAGTTTTGAGGCATCAAATAGTACTCTGAGAGGAAAGCTGTGCCCCATCTTGATGAGCAAGTGTTTAGCTTTGATGTTACTTCTGTCTGGAGGACATTGCAGAAAGTTAACATTCAGAAAGCTGCAGGCCTAGAAAACTGCAGGCCCTGGGCATGTTCTTAGGGAACATGCAGATGAGTTGGCCTATGTTCTTACAGATATTTTCACTCTTTCATTGCAGCAGGCAGTGGTCCCATTGTGTTTTAAGAGTGCCATTATTTTGCCACTGCCAAAAAAGTCTTCAATCATGAGTCTAAAACCAGAACTCTTTCTATTAGGTTTAACTACGCAAAAGCATGACAAAGTTATACTTTATTTAATGCTACACATTTTAACAGCTTCCAGGCTGGTTTTTGCTCAAAATTGGAGGAATAAGGGAACTCCAACGGAAGAAGAGATACTGCATAAAATTCTATCATGTGCTGAGATGGACAGGCTTACAATGATTATGAAAGACAAAACAGAACACGAATACTTCGAAATCTGGGGCAAATTTTACCGTTGGTATGAATTAAGAACTGCTCGGACTTCAAGTTAATGGTAGAATTAAAAGATATACATAACTGTACATATAATTGTATATATAATTGTATTGTATAGAAGATGAGGCTTATATAGAGGTTAAGAACAATGTATTAAACTTTTGTACTATGATAGGAACTCATAGGAAAATTCACTCTGGAATGTCATGTTTGTCCATTGTTGTTTTAATTGTATTATGAATAAAAATAAAAAAAAAATAATTATCACATAGTTACACTTATGTCCATCATTATGAAATGTTTTGAAAGGCTGATAAAGGATTTTATTGTGTCCAGCCTCCTTCCAGCATTTGGCTCATTTCAGTTTCCTTATCATCCAAATTGTTCCACAGAGTATGCTATTTCCTCTTTTCTCCATCTTAGTTTGGCGCACTTAAAAAAATATTTATATGCAAATGCTCTTTGTTGACTTTAGTTTGGCATTTAGTATGATAATAACTCAGCAATTAGTAGAGAAAATGGTCATTTTAGGCTTCAACACTCCTTTGTGCAACTGGATTCTTGATTTTCTCACTAATAGATGCCAGTATGTACGTATTGGGACTAATATTTCTAATAGCGTTTTCTAGACCACAGGTTCTCTTCAGGGCTGTGTCTTAACTCCACTATTGTTCACCTTGTTGACCCATGACTGTTGTGCAAGGTTTTCTACCAACCATATTGTGGAGTATGTGGATGATACAATAGTAGTGAACCTTATTCAGGATGATAATGATAATAAGGAGGTTGAGGGTTTGGTGAACTGGTGTAATATAAACAGCCTGGTTTTAAATGTAGGAAAAACAAAAGATATCATTGTCAATTTCAAAGAAGGTAGGGACAGAGAAGGTGGTTAGTAGTATCAAGTTTCTGGGTATGCAGCTGATGAACAGGTTAGGATGGTCACTTAACAGTGAGACACTGGTGAAGTTGGCACAGCAGTGCCTGCATTTTCTGCATTGTATGAGAAGAGCATATCTTCCTTCCCCTGATCTTTCTATAGAGGGACAATTAAAAGCATCCTGTCATATTACTGTGTGGTTTTGAAGTATTACTATTTCAGAAATGAATGCTGTGCAGAGAGTGGTGAGGACAGCAGAAAAGTTTATTGGATGTTCATTTCCTTCTATTTAGGACATACCATATAAGTGCTGCTTGACCCAGGTCTGCAGTATGTCAGGGACATTGCACTTCCTCTCCACGATGGGTTTTCTTTATTACCTTCTGGGAAGAGGCTTCATGGTATTCGAAGCAGAATAACTAGATACTGTAATAGCTTTGTACCATACGATATCAACCTTTTTTTCCACTATGTATTCAAAATGGACTGTGATTAATATATACATGTATATATGTGTATATGTGTGTGTATGTACAATATGTGTGTGTGTGTGTATGCATATGTATCTATGTATCTATCTATGCATATGTATATATCATATGTATATGTGAATGCTTGTATGTGTATGGATATATATTTATTTTCTTTGCAGAGCAGGCATCAGAATTTCAGTTTTAATGTGTTCCAGTGTATTCACAGAAAAGTGTGACAATAAAGGCTATCCTAGCTTATCTTATATGCCAAGAAATGACCACCAGTTAGAACTATTAGATCATGCTGCTGTGCTTGTATTATTATTGACTTTCTTTGGCCAATTAGTTTTACTGCTATTATCTTTTTATATACTAATATTTACATCAAACTTTTTACTTTATATTATAGTTTATATAGATGTAATTTAAACTTTAAATGTAAGTATTGCATAGAGATGTTAATAAATGTTTACAATAATATACTGTATGCTTTATAGTTTTGTGTTAGTAATTATAATTATTTTTTCACAGCTTATACTATGAAAATGTTTATACTCATACTTTTACAGTTCCAATGTTGTTTTTTGCTAGTAATTGATTGAAAGAAAGACTTGATTCCATCTGAGTAAATAGGATCCAAGTTCTGTCCAACTATATCTTCACCTCAGAAAGAAGAGGACTGGTATACCCAAAGAGGGCGAAAATAACATTATTTAGAAAAAGAATGGCTATACTTTTTATGTTCGTTATTTAAAACATGAGGTAAATTCTGCAAATGTTTGCAGAACATTTAGAATAGTATAAATGCTAAATTTCACAGAAATAAATTTTGAATGAGGTACCTTTTCAATGTGTTATTTTTAAAAGTGCTCTCTGGTTGAAGTAAGGATGCAATGAAATTCACAGTGAAAGTAAACCCTATAATGAACGAGGAGTATTTCAAGCAGATAAACTGTTTTGATTGCTTTTTGTGCAAAAACTGATGTCAAGGATAGCTATTATAACATCTTACAATTTCTGGCAGACCTGTCAGTCATTGAATCAAATTCTGTTTCTTGTTACTATTAGTAAAGATCAAGGATGAGTCTGAATCTGTGTATATATACACATGAGCACATGCACGCATGCATACACAAACAGATAAATAATTGAGTAATGATTCAGAATGCCTTCACATCAGTTTGCCTTGATTTTTGATGAATGCCTGGGCAAGTCCTTATAACTGTCTTGGCAAGATTCCAGAAGTGGTTTGTCATTGCCTAGAGATGAGAAAATGACTGGCCCAAGGTCACCCAACTGGAACTCAGTCTCCCTGTTTCTAGCCTGGTACCTTAACCAATAAACCAGTTTGGTTCTTCTCAATGTAACTAATGCAATTCTATTTTCAATCTTCAACATAGATATAGGAAAATAAATATTCCTACGATAAAAGTAGTAATCAATGGATGATTTGAATACAGTTGGCTTTTACAGAAAAATGCCTTAAGTCTTTGGGCACATTTTGGTGACAATAATTGGTATTCAGCTTATTATCTTGGAATGTTGCACAAAACATTAGATCAGTGGTTCTCAACCTTTTTAATGCCGCGACCCCCAACCGGTTGGAAGTTGAGGACTACTCAACTGGTCGTAAGTCGAGGACTACTCAACTGGTGCAGCACCGTTTGCAGAATGGGACTTTTGGCAGGCTCAGCAGAGCAGAGGCAGCCTGGACAATTCCTACTGGCTTTTGAAAGCCAATAGAATTAGATTCAAATTAGACTCAAAAGCCAATAGAATAAAAGGGAGTAACACAGCTAAAGAAAAGGGGAAAAAATGGCAGACTGTGTTGTTTGGCGACCCCCGTGAAATGGTCGTTCGACCCCAAATGGGATCCCGACTCACAGGTTGAGAACCACTGCATTAGATAGTCTATTGATAATTGTCAATAAATATATACTCAGCATTTGTCAATCACCCATTCAGGTAATAGTCCAATTGACACTACACAAGACTGCCAAATTTCATGAAATTTCCATACGTTCACACTAGATTCTTCTGAGATTGTAAACTCTGTAAGTATTTACAGGTAGTCCTCAAATTATAACAATTCTTTTACTGACCATTCAAAGTTACAACAAGATTGAAAAAGTGACTTATGACCGCTTTTCACACTTATGACTGCTGCAACATCCTTATAGTCACATGATCAAAATTCAGATGCTTGGCAAATGATTCATACTTACGATGGATGCAGTGTCCTGAAGTTATGTGATCACCTTTGCAATCTTCTGACAAGCAAAGTTAATGGGCAAGCCAGATTTACTTAACAACCATGTTCCTATCTTAACAACAGAGATTTCACTTAATAATTGTGGCAAAAAGGTCATAAAATGGTTGTAAAACTCACCCAACAACTACCTCACTGAACAACATAAATTTTTGATTCAATTGTGGTTGTAAGTCAAGGACTACTTGTATGTATATATGTATGTTCATTTTAGGGAACTATCTCTGTACTATCCTTTAATTCTTTTAAAACTACTGACTCTTTTCATTCTACCATTTTTACCTGTGGAAATCTTTCACACATTTTTAAAATGTTTTTGTAGTGAACTGATGTAAAATAACATGAGACTTGATTCTGTGAATAATTCAAAAGACTTAGGAACAAACTTAAGATGGAAGCTTATTTTTCATGTCAAACAATTCTTTATTTTTTTTAATGGTACAAATTAAAAGTGACTAAACTGAAGCTGTTAAGAAACACACAAAGTGCAGCTTTACTGACCATACAGATATTGCTCTAGTTTTAAAGTACAGTTTTTGTCAGTTCACAATTATTTTTTTAGTGTTAAGCAATCTGTGCAGATAAATCAGCTTTGGTTTCAAAGTCAGAATAGATAAGGAGTTTGAAGTAACCAGTTTGACTTCTTGGTCACAAGTTCTCCGTATTAATTCCTTTTTTTTCTTTTTCTTTAAAAGCAAAAATGAAGACTACAATATATCCCATCATAGTCTTTGCCATCTTTCCTGCTGCATGTATTCTGCATGGAGAAGCAGATCTCTTTTGCATGCTTCATAAGTGACCCTGGTGCCCATCCAGTAGATTTTGGGAGCAAAACACTGTATCTTATTGCCACATGGCCTCCATTGTCTTCAAGGGAACAGGCTCTGGAGTCTTGCAGAATTGCCATTAAAATGAAGGAAGGATATGCAGCAATCATATTTCTGTACTGCACCCAGAATAATATAAGACTGATATATAAATATATAATATAAATTATAACTTAATTTATATTATAGTTAAATTATTTCTTTTTTTAACTTAAGGGAACTAATTTGACAACAGTTCAGGATGCTTGTAAAGCTGTGGAACTTTAAATTAATAAAAGTTAAAAAAGAAACATTTTCTCAGCAATAAATAAAACAATGTGCCCCATATAAGTTCAAATTGGAAACAAGCAAACATGACAAAAAGCTTAATACAAAATGTTACTGAAACATTTTTTTTGTACATTTACATGGAAATTAGTTTCTATTTTTATTTTAAATTAATTCAGTGTTGCTCATGAACTGGGTACAAGTAGAGTGCTGAGGTAAAACATTGATGAACAGTTTCTGGTTTTTTTCTTCTTTTTTAAAATAGTAACAGTTTAGTATTGCAAGATTGTCAGCAACGTTTAGCCATATCTATACAATGTGCATATACCTACATACAATGAGCTTTGGTCCAGCCTTGAGAAGACGAGCAAAGGCATTATACATATTTCTTTTTGGTTATAGCTTGAGTACTTTGACATGCCTCTATTTGTTCCTTCTTAGCTCCTTTTTCCTTTCTTTGTTTATTTATTTCCTTGTGTGATTACAACATAAATTGAAAAGTTCTAGATGGATTTGGTATTTTTCTGTTCATTTGAACCTGTACACTCAACATGTAAGCATTTTTTGGCATGATACCGTCTTAAACACTGAAGCGATGCTGCTTATACAGTGATTCAATGCAGGAGTTTGTGACAAAGCAGTATATCCCATTATGTGGTACATCTCATGGATTTGCAGAGAAGGGAAAAAACTGTAGGATTAGACTTTTACTAGCAAAAGAGAAAACGACACATCCAGGAACAAAGCACAAAAATAATTTAACAATACTTTTGTTATAATTAATTAATCCCTGTTCATTCTTCAAACTGAACTCAGAAAATGTATAATTGACAGATCATTCAGCATAATAGTAAACTCCAAATTAGTGTTTTATGAATAAACTCCTCCCTGAATTCTTGACTGTTTAGCATAGTTATGAAGGAAGAGTTAGAAAACTTTTATTTCACTGTCATGACCAGAGACTGCTGTGTCCATTTGAACTTGGACAAATAGTACAATAGTTTATTTTCACTCAATATTTTATATCTGTATGGATGCTCATATTGCAATCATAGAGACAGGGGAATGAAGTTCAAAACTCTTCCAATTTTTTCTTTTTATATTGGCCAATAGACTTTAGCATTACATAATTTTAATCAAACCTATCAACTATCCATAACTAAAGTATAGCTTTGGGGAATATCTTTAACAAATTAATCAGCAGCAAGTTTTGCACTTGTGTATTATTATATCCGGGCACTACTACCAAATCTAGAAATGGGATGGCTTTTTACTCTTGAGTTGTTTTAAATTTAAATTGTTTTTTATTGATTCCTGGAAACTTTGATCTTAAGAATGAGAAGAAGCAACTTTACTAAATATGGAAGAATTGAAAACTTTGTCCTCTTTGTTTTATCAGGTTTGCTCAATAGAGAAACTTTGTGGTTCTTGCTAACTAAAGTATAATTTAAATAATTTAGATTGTATAAAGGGATGTTGTATTCTTTTCTTTTTCTGAAGAGTCCTAAGTATTTGCATTTTTTGATATCTTGGCAGGCTAAATTTACCTAAGTTTCAACAGGTTTAATTCTCTAAGAAATAATTATTCTGTTGAATCATTGCTTTGAAAATAAGCAAAAATCTACTCTGACAAAATGAACAAGCACAATCAATCTAAAACTTAATGAATGTAGACTTGCTATAGCCCCACATTTAGCAATACCCTTGATGTTTATTTTATATAACTTTAGAATGCTAAGGTAATTAATCTGCTTCTGCTTATGGAAAATTCTTACTCTTTTGTTCATGTAGTGTTATGTCTTTTAATACTATATGAAGAATAAGAGTGAATGGTTTTCATAAAGGTTCTATTTAACTATTTCTATTCTAACAATAGGATATTTATAAACACAATAATTTATTTGGCTCCTGTGGAATTTTAAGAAACAGGAAGAATCTACCTTTTCCATTTTAATTAAATGCTTTGTGGTATGTGGTCAACTGAAGCTCACATAGTGTTAATATGTGATCATTGAGCTCATGCTTGGCACAAAACCAAACTTGATTGGAAGTGGTACATTAAGAGTTTCAAGTAATGTTAACATCTCAGGAATAATCTGTCAAAAGATTGTATTGTGCAAAATTATTTAAGCTGAAAAGTAGATTAAAACCCCAGTAAAAATATAAAATTAATGGCAATCAGACTATATAAACTTCTAGAATGGAACAGTTTTTCCTGCATCTGATTTGTCTAAGATTAGCTCTTCTTATCTTCCAGGAAGACAGAAAAGAATTTATGAGCAGGTGAAATCCTGAAGGCTACAGTTTTTGCGGATGTTTTATACTCAGTTACAATGGAGTAGTTTTACTAGAAGAGGAAAAAAGCTTTTGGATTTACATTAAGATCATCTAAAAATTATTTAGTTATTCGGCCTCAAATTCAAATGTATTTGAAGAGTCTGGTGTGGAATTAGCATTAATGTATAAATGAGAAAAACTCTTGACTCCAAGTTTCAACCTTTAAATATAAATTTAATCAATTCTGACTGACTTTTGTAGCGCACACTATATGCTTTTTGCCCATAAAGCTGGTTTGCATAGGATCTCTCTGTTCCTTAATGCTTCCATCCCCTCCAAAATTAGGATAAATAAATCATTGCAAAATATTCATTTTGTAGCTAATCATTTTGAGCAATCATAAAACCACTTCTGAGTTCATCCACAGTCTTGATGGTTGCAATGCTATAAATAAATAAATAAATAAATAAAGGAACAAATGACAAAAGCATTAACGACAAAAGAAATGTTTTAGTTAAAAAATCAAACCTAACTAATGTTCTACTTATTTTATCGCTTTGCCAGTAGCTTGTCTGTCATTAGAATCCCAAGAAATTTCTTTGGCTATCAGACTTCAGAGAGAAATTGCTTAACATAGAAAAATCATAAGCATTGAACTGTATTTTGGACCAAATGGTGCAGTTTATAATTATATTACAAAAGTAGCTTTGGTAACCTGTCCAATTTGTGGCCAAAGGACAGAGAAAGTCACAAGTTGTTTACAGTAAGTGAAAGTTCAAGTAACTTTAGATGTCCTTGAACTGACTGTTACAACCTGTGCACTTTTTAAAAAAATAAATAAATAAATTGTATTTTGAATAAATTTCAGTGGCATTAAGATGGAGGTCAGTTAAAATGAAAGATCATTATAATTGCAAATAAAGTCTACAAATTCCAAAACCCATTGTTTAGAAAAACTGTCATTTTGGCACACAAACATTTGGAGATCACAAAATTGTATATGATCAACATGAGGTTGAGCAATGTAGCTCAAACCAAGTGAAATTTACTCACGTGCTGGGTATGTGTGAGAAGGTGCAGGGGGAAAGAAAGTCCTTTAACTATTATTGTTTCCTTTCTGTAAACGACAAATGTAAAAATTGAAAACACAATGTAGCACTCCCAAAAGAGTTGACCAACAATTTAGTTTTAATGTCATTTTTTTTGACTTTGGTTAATAGTTTTCATTGTGAAGAAGCACTTGATACCTGAAAGACTACAATCACTCCTCCAGGTGGCAGGCTTGTACTCTCTTGCTTCCTAAGAACATTTAAATGTTTGCTGTCCTTGTCGTTGTTGTGTTCTTTTTCCACAAACAAAGTTCACATGTCCATAATGTACAGAAAAGGTAAGTAGTTATTTGGTTTATTTTTAAGTCCATTAAGAAAAAAATTGGCTTATTGGAACTAGTTCTAACACACACACACACGCACACATACACACCCTAAGTGCTGTGTATTTTTTATTTTTTTTCTAGGAAATCCCACAGACATTTATAAATTCTTCAGTCCATCTTGTAGCTTTCTCAATCTTTTACTTACAAAGATGAGAAAAAGCATCTTTATACATTTCCAGTGTTTAAAATGATGTCCTTTTTTTTGGTCTGGGTGTTTTCCCTTTAAATCTATCCATTTAAGAGTCTTCTTTCAGAGAGTCTGTTAAGGACTCCATTGGGGCTGCTGTCACAGGCTCATTCTGTTTTAGACGTTTAATTGTATTCTTCAGTGCTTGCCTCTTATTGCAGAACCATACCCTAACCACTTCCCGATCATAGTTCAGTTTCTGTGCAATTTCTGTCATTTCCTGCCCGGAGGGATGGGTGTTCTTCTCAAAATGGGCATTCAATATTTCAAGAGCTTGTGGGGTGAAGGAAGTGCGCCTCTTGCGCTTTTTGGATGGTTCGCTTCCAATAAATTCAGTAAGGTTCTGCATACCTGCTCGATGGCGGGCCTCAGCCTCAGCCATCCACCGTTCAAGCACCGGCTTTATCTTCTGGGCACTTTTAGGGGTGATGTCCAGCTTTTCAAACCTGGCAGGATACAAAAGGCCAGGGTTCAGTTTGGCTGTCAGACTGCTAGCTATAGTGTTCTCTTGGGCTTCCTGTGGTAGGAAAAAGTGGCTTCTCAGGATGGTGTGTCTGAGGGGAAAATTGAAAAAGAAGAGTCTTTACACTGATGCTCTGCCAGGGTGGGACTTCCTGCCTGCCTGCCTAATTGACTGGCAGAGATTTACAATGGATTATGAAAAATTATCATGTCTACAATTATTGATATATTTCAGCAAACAGACAGACAAATACAATCACACTGACAAAATGCTACTCCATCTAACTAGTTGCTTCAGTCTGGAGATTCATGTGAAATAAGAGGCTCACATTTATCTATGGTGCAGATGGGCCTCTCAGTTCATTTCTATGAAGCATGTTAATCCTATTCACTTTGGTCTATTTGTCTAGGTCAACCTGTTTCATTGAAATGGATAAAGCTCCAGCCAGAAGAACTACAGTATGTGTTTGCACTGGAAGGCCACCGCTCTTCCTTGAAGGGACTGTTCTTAAAGATATACAGTATGTTTCAGATTTAAGCATGTTCAAAACAATATATATTATGATCAAGCTGAACACAAACATTAGAAAAGGAAATGACAGCAATTGACTCTTTGGGGTTTTTTTGTTGTATTTTTTACTGGGAATTAGTTTCTTTCTATAGAATACACTATTATTTTAATTTTGCAGAGAGATTGTTATCCTTCTAAGTTCAGCTTTATTTTCGTTTTCATTTTTAAGCAATTTTCACCGGTCAGGAGTTAACATCATGTTAACTCAAAATCTCCAAAGCGGTTGTAATCTTCAGTTCAAACAGCTGGATACATTGTAATTATCTTGAATATCCTCACAAGTAGTGCTATGAGAAACCCAGCATAATAGTGAACTAATATGCTTTGGCATCAAGCTGGGTTTATTGTGGCATGTCTCCACACTGTGCCAAATGATATCATTTCCTGTAAATGAGGTCCTCTAGGTCTCATTTTACCATCAAAACTCTTTTACTGGACCAGATTTTACAAGTCGTTTTGCAGTACCTGCAAAAACATTTCTAAACTAGGTTGAAGACTTTATTTCTCTTAAAATTAAGCCATTTTAAAGTCTTACATTACCCACTAGTTGTAGCTTTATAAATTATAGTGTTTTATATTCATTCCCAGAAAAAATCCAATTTAATCTTTGAGATGCCTTTGCAAAATGTGTAATGAGATTAAAAACAGGAATAGTCTATGAAACTTAAATTCAACTCTCACAGAAATCTGATTGCTCTCAGCTGGTGCTTCATCATTAACATACATATAAATAACAAAAACATTGCATGTAACTTTGTTCTCAGTGATAAGTAGAGAAGATGCATAAACCATTTATTGGGGCTCTCTGTTCTTCCCCCCTGAACTAGCCTTTAGACTATTGAATTTGGTACACTAATGGTTGGAATAATATAAAAAAGGACTTACTGAGATGGGATAAATTTCAATTATCATTAATGGATAGAATTTCTGTAATTAAGATGAATGTTTCACCAAACAGCTTTTTCTATTTCAGACATTACCAGTACTTGCAACTGATACTTCATTTAAACCATGAGTGTCAAACTCGCCACATCACGTGATGTGTCATGACATATCGTGGCTTTTTTTGCATTGCCGGAGCTGGGGTGAGCGCGGCCTCCATATGATTCAACTGGCCTGTGGGCTGGCAGTTTGACACCCCTGATTTAAACAATGGCAGATGGATAGTTCCAAATTTATATGGCAAGGGAAAAAACCCAAGAATTAGATACAAATTACTCAGTGGTGGGATTCAGCTCATTCGTACCACTTTGGTAGAACTGGTAGTTAATTTTTTGTTGCCCAGGCCCAGAATGGATTTCCGGAAGTAGCATCCACACAGAGAATCGGTTGTTCACATATTTGAATCCCACCACTGAAATTACTGTAAGATGCTAAAGAAAGAGGAGGTTTGGGTTTACAAGATTTGATATTGTATTTCGATGCTTGATGTTTGGTCTGGTTAAAAAAGTAGGTCAATCTTCCGAATAAAAGGTTACTTGATTTAGAGGGCCATAAATTAAGATTTGGATGGCACGGCTATTTATGGTATGACAAGGTTAAAGTAAATGTTGAATTTAATAACCATTTTGTTAGATATGCTATCCTAAGAGTTTGGTTTTCTATGAAGATGCCTCTCTTAGAAAGAAAATAGTGGCAAAACAAGACTGGTAGACTTATGGTCAAATAATGTTTTTTAATTTTGGTGATCCTATCCTCAAATCTAAAGAGGAGTTAGAAAGAAGGATTTTCTGCCATTGGTTTACATATTTACAATTGAAAGAAAGATTTAAATCAGACAAAAAGAGTTATGAGTTTGATCTTGTGAAAAATGAATTGGAAATCCTACTGCATGGTAGTGATGAACACATTATTGTTAAGGTCTATTGTTATTGTTATTGAATTTGAATTTGGAGAATGAATATGTAAAGCATTGCATGATTCATGAGCAAGAAACTTTGGATATAATATAATGCTTAAATAATGGGAGAATCTGTGGAAGAAAAATCTAAAATTTACACTAAATTATAATGTAAAAGAAAATTTTTATAAGATGATGTATTGTTGGTATTTAATATCAGATAACTTGTCAATTAAGAAAACAAAAATCATGGCATCCGGCCCTCTCAATTCCTGGCAAATAGATGGGGAAGAAATGGAGGTAGTGACAATTTTATTTTCCTGGGCTCCAAGATCACCTCAGATGGGGACTGCAGCCAAGAAATTAAAAGACGCTTGCTCCTGGGGAGGAAAGCTATGGCAAATCTAGACAGCATTCTAAAAAGCAGAGACATCACCCTGCCAACAAAAGTGCGTATAGTCAAGGCCATGGTTTTCCCAGTTGCAATGTATAGCTGTGAAAGTTGGATCATAAGAAAGGCTGAGCGCCAAATAATTGAGGTCTTTGAACTATGGTGCTGGAGGAGACTCCTGTGAGTCCCTTGGACTGCAAGGCATTCAAACTGGTCAGTCCTAGAAGAGATCAACCCCAATTGCTCTTTAGAAGGCCAGATCCTGAAGTTGAAACTCAAATACTTTGGCCACCTAATGAGAAGGAAGGACTCATTGGAGAAGGGCTTAATGCTCGGAAAGATTGAGGGCAATAGAAAAGGGGGATGACAGAGAATGAGGTGGCTGGATATAAGGCATGAGCTTAAATGGATTCCAGAAGATGGTAGAGGACAGGAAAGCCTGGAGGAATGTTGCCCATGGGGTCGCGATGGGTCGGACACGACTTTGCAATTAACAACAACAAAGTTGTCAAGAATGTATAAAGGCATTTCAAATGAATTTTGGAAATGCAAATGTAAAGAAGGGATCTTTTATCACTTATGATGGATATGTGATAAAGCAAAGAAATATTGGAGGAGGATTCACATCTTAATACAGAAGATTATCAAAGTGAATATAAAGATAAAACCAGAACTCTTTCTTCTGAGTTTAATGGAAAAAGACTTGGGGGAAAAAATGGAACTTTGATGTTATAAATATTGATGGCAGCAAGATTACGCACAAAAATGCAATGACATTTTGATTCCTATAATGGATGAATGGTTGCAAAAGTTGATGGAGTTAGTAGAGATGACCAAACTGACTGCTTTGATAAAAGAAAATTACTTTTGTTTCTACTTGGAAACCACTTCTGAACTTTGTGCTTGAGATGAAAAAAAATTGAAACTTTTATTTTGAGTTTTATTGATTAGATAGGTTTATTGTTATAGAAATGGCTAGTTTTACTTTATGTAAAAGTAAAAAGAGGTTTGATGTTATTATCTTATTCTACTGCACCAAAGGGAATAAGAAGTCAACACCTTTTCTTTCTTTTCCCCCTACACTTTCCTTCCCTTTTCACTCCCTTATTTCTTACTATTTTCTTTTGTGTGTGTGTGTGTGTGTGTGTGTGTGTGTGTGTGTGTGTCTGTGTGTGTGCAGTCTTTAGAAACTGCATTTGCCAGTACTGCCCCCTCCAAATCCCAGGTAAACCAAAATCCAAAACTCTATGAAAGATTTGAAAATCTAATAATCTGTATTAAAGTATGATATTATTATAAAGTAAGACAATATAATAATACTGAACATATTGCTTTAAAAAACAAAATCTGTTAGTTCAAGTTTCCTTTATCAATTTATCATAGAGAAAATAAATTACATTAAAATTAAATAATGAGAAAACCATATTCATATAATTAAAGTGTCTTGTTAACATCTGTACTTTGTATGTGATTTTTGGTATAACAATATCCAAGTCTTGAAACAAATTTCCTAGCAGTGGTATCCTTGTATACACTGAATAAAGGTTATTTTCTGCAGGGAGGTATCTTATAAGAAAAAACAGTAGGGGAGGCCATAGAAGTGAGAGGATCCTATGGAGCTTTTTGTATTTAACAACAATCAATGGGTTTTATGGAAAATCATTGAGCAAAATGTGAGCTGCAAGCTCACTACCCCATACTGATGTTATTTATAACCTTAGTCTTAAACTGCAGGAAAAGTACACTTCCATTCTATGGGGAATACATTAGAAGTATAAAGAGCAGGTAAAAAGACAGAGCATTTCATGGATCACTAAGAACAAAATCCACTTAAATGAGCTTAGAGTTCATTTCTTGGCTCTCATTGATGGAGAAGAACTGTAAGACTACATGGCCTAAGAGGAAAAATCTGTTACCTAAGTGGCTTTGTTACCTCATGTATAAACATAGGATTATAACATACATATATGAAGACCTAGGTGTTTTGCTTTCAAGATTCTTTAACTCTATCAAGGGTACTATATTTTCATGATTTTTCACAATGTTCTTGAATATTAGTCTCCTTTTTCTAAATACAGATTTTTTTCTTTTGAAACATCTGGTATTACAGGCTAAAACATAGCAGGGAGACACATGAAATAATTGTTCAGAATTTATACCAATAAAAATGCACAATTTGAAAGTATGCAAATACGAGTAGATAAAGAGGTGCTATTTTGGTGAGAAGGTAACAGTGTTTTGTGCTTTTTGGAGTATAGTCAAGTCAGCCACAATGACCACAGAAATGTAATTGGACAATATTGGTTCTCTTGGCTAAGACACATAGATGAGCAACACCTCCTAAAATCGGACATGACTGGACAGGGGAAACCTTTATCTTTACTTTAAGAAGGTTAACCGGTGTTTGATAGGTTATCCATCTCCATGCTGCCTTAAATTTTATGACCAGGAACATATATAATGTTCCCAACTTGTTTCTGCATAAATAAATAAATAAAAACTTGGGTGTGGGAAGATGAAAATTGCGTTAAAGCCAGATAATAAAATATGTCAGTATTTGTTCATATAAGGCTGCTTTGCTAGACATATAGATATAATTATAATATAAAGGCAGTAAGCAATAAGCCTTAAGAGAAAAGGTTGGAGAAATGAGGACAGACTATACATTTTGTTACCTGCAGATGGCAGACTGGCTGTACGCTGGACCCTCTGTGGCACTTAGAGCTTGACCGACTTGTGTCTGAGTGAGACCAAGAGACAGGCGTCGGATTTTAAAAGCTTTGGCAAATTCTCGTATTTCTTCAAGATTCACCCCATCCACCTCACTAGAGGCTATTTGGGGATCTGTTGAAATAATAGAAAACAAACTGAATATCCTCAAATCTTATACAATTAAATTAAGGGAATTATTTCCAATAAAGCAGGTAAAGACAAAACTCAGCAGCACTTTTTCGTGCAGCTGCTGATAAAAACAGGATCGCCAACATGATCGCCAACGTCCGATAACGGATATGGCACAAGAAGAAGAAGAAAGCCTCCTACATCCAAATAGTTTTGCAAGGCAAACAGCATACCTGAAAGGTAGATAAAGCAAGCATATTGGATTAATAACAAGTTTCCCAATCTTCAGTTGAAAAAGAACAGAAAGAGGAACACTTTTAATAAAACAATGCATGCTAGGTTATTTTGCAGCATATTGAGTTCCTGATTTGCAACCCTTCACTTTTTTCACAAAGTGAATTTCAGGTAACATAAACAGCTACTCCGAACTATGGACTGTTTTTCTAATAGTACTCAGGATATCTTGTTTTGGGAAAAAGGAATCCTTAAATTTCAAATAGATATCCTTTGTGTTGCATCTAAAGTGCTTGCATTTTAATATAAAATTGTAATGACATTTTAATTCTACATATGTTTGGTTGTATATTGGATTCAATAAAATATTTTATTTCTATATCATCCCAGAGAATTTCCAGTTTGAGTAGTAGGCATGTCCAGCCTTCCAATTGTAACACTGATCCCCATTTCATTTTTTATTGGCCCCTCAGTAGATAATACTCACAGTGCTGAGAGAATAAATTGGACTTCTTTGACAACAGTTTTTGTCCTGAAAGGGGATGTAATAAATGCTATCTACTAGAGGAAGACTCTTTTGATGCTCGAAACATTATCAGTTTAGGATTTATTGAGGAAATGATACAGCAGCTGGGAATGGCGTCTCCTTCTCTTTCTGCAACTGATTCCTTGCTAACTGAAAGCATTCTCCAGTCTGGTGAAGGCAGCAGACAACAGTCTGGTGGAAGATTCAGAAGTTACTGAGTTCTGCATGTACTGAAACTCTTGTTCTATAGTGTTTTTCATATCATTCTTACAAAGATGCTCACATAATATCATATTTCTTTAAATATATGCCATTAAGTGTTTATATTTAACCTGGATAAAGATCTCTATCCCAGAGGGTGGACCATAAATCTAATAAGTAAACAAACAAACAAATAAATACTAGCTAATATTAGATGATGTCTACCATTGAGAATCTAGTCTTTGTGGTATTGTAAAAATTCTACTTAACTACAGATCTCAGTGGCATTATGAACAGATAAAACAAACACAAATATATAAAATATAGTTTGCCATAAAATGAAATACATTTTACAGTTTTAATTAATTACCTTTCCTTTGGGGCTGATTACCAAACAATTTCCCTGCTTTTACTATATGCCATAGAATAGAATGAGTAGGATATAGACACTCACAATATGTTAGCTAAGCAAATATGATTTGTTTTTCTAAAGAGACTATACTAGTGATTGTAGAGAAGCTATTTTTGTTGGCATGTTACCGGAAATTATAAAAAAGCCCTCTATAAATGCATCCTCGTTTATACCAAATATCATATCTGCTCTTGGTTTTGTCTCATTTTTTATGTTCATCAGCATGAATCTCTGCTATGCTGCTTTTAATAGTAAAAATAAATAAATAAAAATCTTACTAAACTACTCAGAATTTGTGAAGTATCAGTTGGTCTTGCTTCCATTTAACAATTTTAATAGGCCAAAAGAGAAAAAAAAATAACCTATTGGGCCTTCCTTATTTGTCAAGCCTACTTTCATGGTCATCTGTTGTAATTTTCCTAGGGCATATAGGATTTGCAGGGAATATAGTGTGTGCAGGATTTTATTATAATTTTATGAGTAGCATTCAGTTTTATCTACATTGATGGTTTCTTACATTTTTGACCATAGTATGTATATGCTCATACAAAATAGCTCTTGGGAATCTTTTGCCCATTCTCAAAATGACTATCATGCTCTCCTCCCCTTCCCCTTCCCCTTTAAGACATTTTAATATTCCTGCCTGGTATTGTTTTTTATGAGCAGTTGGACTCCCCTTCAAACTTATCACCATGGTCATCATTTTTATTTTTAGTGAGAGCTTATGGTCCCAAAAGAGACAAGAGACATTATTGGAAATAAAGTTGAGGTTGGAGGTTGACACATGGCTTCACAGCATGGCACTTTCTCATCTTTATAGGTAAGAGGTTAAATAGGGAAGGACCTTGATGGAGGAAAACTACCTGTGGGCACAAAGATAGAGAAGCCACTGCCCAGGATTTCAATAGAAGTCTTTTCTAGATCTAGTTGCAGTGGCCAACCATTAAATATTTGCTGCATAAAAAATAGATGTCATATAGGAAAAGGTAGGCCTTTTCCCCCTCCTCTACAGGTGTTTTTTTTTTTTTTTTTTGCAATGAAGATGAGAAAAAATGAATATATTCAGCCAGAATTTAGAATTAATGTCTGTCGATTGTTCAACAAAATTTTTCATCAGTTAATATAATGAAACCTTTGCATTACTTGGATGTTATACTGTACAAAAGCACTTGAAGCAGTTGTTCCTGAAACTACAAATTTTGTGCCTGACTGCACTTTTAATAAAAATTGGGTTGATAGTATCAAAAAATACTTCTAACCTTTTTGATTTTCTTGTGACTAAAAAGCCTCTACCAAGATAGATAAGCCTGACCTTGAGATACTGATACATTTTGTACATTCTTTTCCAGCATGGAAACTTGGGATGCAAACTGTATTTTGCACTTATGACTCCAAACCTTAAGGGCTGAAATCTAAGGAAGTGTTTGAGATCAGTGTTTGAGATGAATTGCGTGAAAAAAAGCAAACTGTAGCTCAGGTCAGATTAGACAATGGTGTCCTCATTTAGCACATCAGAGAATTGCTAAAATACAATGCAGCAATTTTGGGTATCATTTTGAAGTGTAGGAAGCCCCCCCCCAAGAATGAAATATTTTGGGGAATATTAAATGAGACAGAATATTAAATTTCTCCTAAAGGAGAGGAAGAGAAACATATTCTTGAATGCAGAAAGAAGCCCCAGTGTCAAGCAGAAGCTTTAATTCTTTAGAAATGGATATTTTGTATCCATTAAGAAAGACCACCCCATTCGTAAACATAATGCCTTTAGCCACAGCTCCCACAGAAGGCTGGAGCTGATGGTATTAGAAAAACAAAGACTCCTAAAATTGACATTCCCCATCCAGCTCCAAGGACAGAGCATGACCTCTCAGCCACAATGGAAGTTAGACAACAATAATTAGAATACTAAAAGGGCACATTCAAGCATAGATCAAAGCATGTTTCAAATGAACAGGCATCTCAAATACAAAGCTCCAAAGAATGTATAAAAACCCACGTACTCTCAACTCCATTTTGTCAGACACCCCAGAAACCTAGTAGGACAAAACCCAACCTGGTGGTATGAAACCAATGACTGGAATGTACTGATGGATGGATACAAATTGTTCAAAAGAAATAGATCTACAAAAAGAGAAGGGGGAATTGCACTATATGTAAGAGAACACTAAATATCTACAGAAATGTGATCAAAGATAAAATCCCTCCAGAATGTATGTGGATCAATATAAAAGGGAAAAAAGTGACATTGCCATAGGTTGTATATCACAGGCCACTCAACCAATCAGAAGAAATAGATGAACTCTTTGCCAACCAGTTAACAAATGTATGTAGGAAGCATACTACAGTAGTAATGGGAGACTTCAACTATCCAGATGTCAACTGGGAGAGAAACTCTGCAGCGAGTGGGAGATCAAACAGATTCCTGATCAACCTAGCTAACAACTTTGTCATCCAAAAGGTGGAGAAAGGAACTAGAAGTAAAGCTATACTGGACCTAATTCTTACTAATAGAGAAGAAGTGATGGAGTTGAAGTTGCCAGAACCTTGGGTGAAAGTGACCACATCATACTGAAATTCAATATGATGCAAATTCAAGCAATAGAAAATAATCCAGTGTCTTAAACTTCAAAGGAGCTGATTTTAACAAACTCAGAGAAAACCTAGGAAAGATTCCATGGACAAAAATCCTAAAGGGGAAAACAACTCAAGAAGCATGGGAAACTCTGAAAAATATCATCATAAAAGCCCAATCCAGTACAATACCAATGAAAAAGAAAAACAAGAAATTCAAGAAGAAGCCAACATGGGTGCACAACGATCTCTCTGTCAGACTGAAAGACAAAAAGGACAAGTAGAAAAAATGGAAAAAGGGTCACATAATTAAGCTGATTATTAGCAGACAGCCAGAACATACAAAGATGAAGTCAGGAAAGCAAAAGCTCAGAATGAACAAAAACCTGAAACAGAAATCAACAGATTAATAACAAAAAAATGTTAAGAAAACTATAGGTCCATTAAAGAGAGAAGATGGCAAGGAAGTAAAAGGCAGTAGGGAGAAAGCAGAGCTGCTTAACTCATTCTTTGCATCAGTCTTCACACAAAAAGAAATTATAGCCCAACATAGCAAAAAACTACTGCAAAAGACAAATTAGAAACAAAAATTAAAATAAGCAAGAAAATGGTAAGAGAACACCTATCTGACATTGATGAATATAAATCACTGGGACCTGACAGATTATATCCCAGAGTTCTGAATGAGCTGGCAGATGTTATCCCAGAATCATTGCACCATATCTTTCAAAAATCCCGGAGCACTGGGGAAGTACCTGAGTATTGGAAAGGGGCTGATGTGGTTCCCATCTTCAAGAAAGGAAAAATAAGAGACCCAGGAAACTACAGACCAATCAGTCTAACTTCAATACCTGGGAAGATCCTGGAAAAGATAATAAAAAAACAGATCTGTGAACAACTAGAAGCAAACAAAGTTATAACTAGTAGCCACCACGGGTTTGTTAAAAACAGATTATACCAAACCAATCGTATTTCATTCTTTAATAAAGTGAATAAATTAGTAGACCAGTGAAATGTTGTGGACACAGTATACTTAGATTTCAGTAAGGCATTTGTCAAAGTAGACCACAATCTGCTGCTTAGTAAGCTAGAAAAAAGTGGGATAAACAACATTACCACCAGATGTAGCTGGCTGACAAACCGTACTCAGTGAGTAGTCCTCAATGGGACTATATCCACATGGAGAGAAATAAGCAGTGGGGTACCACAAGGCTCCATCTTAGGCCCAGTATTCTTTAATATCTTCATAAATGACTTAGATGAGGGAATAGAAGGGGAACTCATCAAATTTGCAGATGACACTAAACTGGCAGGAATAGCCAACACCCAAGAAGACAAGCTCCGGATCCAAAAAGATTTTGACAAACTTGAACAATGGGCCCTATCCAACAAAATGAATTTTAATGTGGAGAAAAGCAAAGTTTACATTTAGACAGGAAAAATCAAAGGTATAAGTACAGATTAGGTGAGATCTGGCTCAAAAACAGTAACCATGAGAGGGACTTTGGAGTCCTAGTGGATGATCACTTGAATATAGGCCAGTAGTGTGCAGCCACCGCCAAAAAAGCTAATACAATCCTGGGTTGTATAACAGAGACATAGAATCAAGATCATGCAAAATATTAGTACCGCTTTATAAAAGCCCAGTGAGACCACACCTGGAACACTGCAACTAATTTTGGTCACCATACTACAAAAATGATGTTGAGACTTTGGAAAAAGTTCAGAGAAGAACAACTAAAATGATCAAAGGCCTGGAGACTAAAACATATGAAGAATGGCTGCAGGACTTGGGTTTAGCTAGTCTAAAGAAAAGAAGAAACAGTTGTGACATGACAGCAGTATTCCAGATTTGAAGGGCTGCCACAAAGAAGAGGGCATCAAACTATACTCCATAGCACCAGAGAGCAGGACAAGAAACAATGATTGGAAATGGATCAAAGAGAGAAGCGACCTGGAATTAAGGAGAAAGTTTCTAACAGTGAGGACAATTAACCAGTGGAACAGCTTGCCTTCACTGGAGATTTTAAAGAAGAGACTGGACAATCACTTCTCTGAAATTGTATAGGTTCTCTTGCTTTAGCAGGAGGCTGGACTAGAAGACCTCCAAGGTCCCTTACAGATTCTATTCTATTCTATTCTATTCTATTCTATTCTATTCTATTCTATTCTATTCTATTCTATTCTATTCTATTCTATTCCTGTTGCTGCCATTTTAGTTTCTGGCTACCAAATAAACAGAGACCTTTCTTAGCAGCCTCCATTTTATTTTCAGTGTCTTTCTCCCAGCTTAAAACTGGACCTGATTTTTCTTCCAACAAAAGGGAAAGTCAAAATAAAAAAATAAAGACTCCTTTGTGTTGAGCTTAAGTTATATTTGTCACACAGACTTATCACCTTCTATTTTGGTTATTTTTTATTTTCTTGGGCTTCTTTGGTCTTCCCCAATTCAGGTTGAACCCTGTTTAGCTTTTTGAGATAATTTGCAAGTGGCACTTGCTGTGACAAATATTTAATAAAAAAAAGAAATTCTTCCCTGGCTTCTTAACTCATTCAATCCCAATTGATTCACCCTGCATTCTATTTCTTTAGGTAATACATAAGATACGGGTGCTTTAACAACGGAATTCTTTACAACATCATAGAAAACATAGATTTCTTGGTTATCATATCCCAAATCAACTCATACCTGGATAATAGTCAAAGAAAAAGTAAGAGATCCCATCTGGAAGAAAAGGGAAAAATATGCATTCTTGCTCAAATACATATATATGCACTGAACAAATTTGATATAATGATACTGGGTTTCTTTGTTGAGCTGGCATAAGGTAACCCACATAATTTGCTATTTTTCAGCCACTATCCTGCTTTTTGCAATGTGTACTTCAATACTGGGCACTACATTTGTGCTCAGATTTTCCCCCTAAAAGTAAGAGCTAATTTAATCTTTGTTTCTACTGATAGTGTTGGCATGGACATGGGGAAGGGAGCAGGGAAGGCAAGTTATAAAACAAGCATTGTGGTGCAAATTCTTCCCCATATGTATTTGTGTGCCATGTTGCAGTGCACATGTAAAAGGACAGAATAATAATATTATGATGCACATTTTGTCATTAGTTTGGTTATTATTTCTATAATCTGTAAAGGTTAGGTAGATAGACTGCTTTTTAACAGCTATCTCAAACGCTTCTTTTCCATGAGACAAGAATCACTTCCCACCAGGGAGGCATAAAAAGAATATTTTCCCATAAATTGTATGTGTTAATTATTGTTAGTTATTAATATCATTCCTTGACTAGAATCATTTAAAAGCAAGAAGAAATCAAGGGGACATAAATGTTTGTATCATTAGTTATAGTGTACTTGATTGTTCAATTGACCATGTACCATGATAATGTATTCTTAACCTGGTCTCTTTCCACAGGGCACCTATTGCCACTATAATTGAGTCCCTCCATCTTGCTGTGGATTGTTCTTTTTTACATCAACATATGCTGTATACATCTGCATCTACATCAATATCTACATATATACATCAATACCCACACACATATTAATCACAAAACAATTCAATGGATCATTGAAATTAAAAATATGAATATACACCCATATACATCTACATATACATTTATATGTATGTGTGTGTATTCATATTTTTAATTTAATTTAAATCCAGGCATTATGGCTGTCATTTGTGTGGAAAACTACTACTTCCACATTCTCTTGCCTTGCATATTGCATGACCATTGTTTGACCATTAGTTCAGTGTTTTTTTCAATCTTATCAACTTTAAGAAGTTTGGATTTCAACTCCTAGAATTGGAAATCTAAGTCCACACATCTTAAAAATTGCTGCGATTAAGAAACACTGCCTTAATTTTACATTGCCTTTCTTTTTTTTAAAAAAAGCTGCTTTTTTGTCATGTGAGGCAAATTTTGTCATCTTTTAATGAGAGTGTGCTGGAAGCTGGGGACGGTATAGGATAGGGGAAGGCTTGTAAGGCTTCTTAATAAGTGGGAGCTCTTACAAATAGGAATTTAATTTGGTATATTTCAGTTACATCAAAAATCTGCTGGATAGAAAAACAGTCCCTAAAAAATAAAAAAGCAGTACTTTTTGATTTACATGATATCATTTATGTGATATCATCAAAATTAATGCACACTGCATAAATATTTTCTACCTTGAATTTAGTCCAAAACATTTCATGCTTACAGTTTCTCTGTGCCCTCTTCTAGCTGTATTGCTTAGCAATTAGTGACTGCTTAATTATTCTAATTATTTATTATAGGGATTTTTATGCCACTTCAATCTAGTCAGTTACAATAATCAAACAACAACTACAATAAAATAACGCTGTCCAATCAATATATTATCCCATCGCAGTATATCTTACCCAGAATAACATAGTATTCTGAGTCCATCCACTTCCTAAAGGCTTTTTGAGATAGCATTTTATAAATCATTCCTTCCCATAGATTCCCAATAATATAAAACCATATAAAATCAAGGAAAACAAGTAGACAGAGACCAATGAGAAAATAAGACAAGAATGCTGTACTTACTGTTGACTAACTGGCCAACACTCAAAGCTGAAGATGAGGAGGATGAGGAAGAGGAAGAAGAAGCCTGGCGCACTGGGCTTTGAGATATAGATGCTTGACTATGAGTCAAGTGTAGAAGACTGGTCTGTGATGCTGCTTGTCCTACTTGAGTCTGAGAAGGCTGATGGAGCTATGGACAAAGATAAAGACATTTTCAGCAATAAAATAATGGTCCCCTCACCTATCTCCACCATTCCCTCTCATTGGGCTCCTGTAGGCCTTGGGCCTGCTTCTCACACTTTTGGGTCCACACCCTCCCCCTCACTCTTTGTGACTTATCTTTCAAAGATCTCTGGAGTGTTAGGAGTTGGGGGCAGTGTGCTCCATTCCTAAATGTGTGGCACGAACCTGAAATGTCTGCCACTTTCTGGAGTGACCACAATGCAATGACATTCAGAAAACGGGATTATGCCACACAGCCCAGGAACAAAGAGGCCCACCTTTTTCCTTAATGCGAGCTCTGGAGACTCTGCTGCAATCTGCAGTGGTCCTGAGATCACACTATGGAAGCAGAGCAACTCACTCTGTCCCTAGACTTACCCCTGGAAGAGAGCACCATTTTAGAGTGACTACATACAAATGGTGCGCAATTCTGAAAGCAAACCATATGGCCTAAGGGTAGAGTGGCATGCTCTTTTCCACTAGATCTCTGGAGTTCTGCAGATAGTTGTGGAGATCTCCTGAATGTAATCTCCAGAACTTTTAGAAGAAGAGCTACAAAAATAAGTGAGTAATCAGTGACGATGGGATAGGGAAGAACATGCAGGACTTGATGGGTGGAAAGCAGGCCCAAGCCTAGGGGAATCCCAAGGAGTGGGAGCAGAGCATGGGGTGCTCTGCTTAATGACCCCATTAATTTAATATTCAGCTTAATGGCTGCATTAATGCTCATTAACCTGTTGGCCTGGCTTGAGTGGTGATAGTGTGATTCCTTGTGTGTTGATTACTGGTAATATCTGGTTTCCAATGACTGTTGCAATGATTTGACCCTGGGCATTGGTCAACAACTGTGGTGTAATTGGCTGTACATGAAGGCCCTGAGCTCCCCCTCCTGCTTGATTGGATGAGACTGGATTAGGCATCAGTGGAATTGTTCCAATAATCTGAAAGAAATAGAAAGCAGAAATTCTATATGTCATAAATACTTGATTGTGAAAATAATACATCTAGGAACACAAGGTATTTTAACTGCTTCAAAACTCACATTTTGTCCAGGACAAAGGTGGATAATATAGTCAGTTTATTAGTTGTGACCATATATGGTAACTGATCTACTATAAATTAGCAGTCTTTATCAAATTGTCTTCTTACATTTTAGTATATTTTGCTTGCCTTCTGCTATTCTTCCCTTGAAGTCTTGAATTCCAGAACAGCAAGGGATATGTTTTAAAGCTAACAATTAGAGGAAATCAACTGATCAACTGGAGATAACCTCAGAATAACAGAATAACAGACTTCCGGTTTGCCATCGTGGCTCCTGTGGACACATGGAGGCGAGCTCCATCTTCAGCATCTGATTTCATCCTGCTGGGAGACCCTGGAAAGGGCTGAAAGTCGCCCTGTAGGGGCGACGAGCAAGGAGGGGATCCCTGCTTGATCATGGGAGGGCAGCAGCCCTGTCTCTTGATCCAGGGTAGCTCTGGAAAAGACCAGCCATAGCAATATGGCTCATCATTAAACTGATGACAGTCAAAGTCAAAATTACTACCAAGCACCTTTAAAGCAATGCAGATGAAACTGGGTGAGATCTGATCTTCTCTTTAAGACTTTAAATATCTTTTCTGCAAAAGCTGCCCAAAGATTTTTTCTCCTGTGAGGAGACAGGGAAGGGAATTCCTATCCCACCCTCTAAGAACAGCAGCGATTGACTACCCAGGGGAAATAGAGGAATTATAAGAACAAATTTAATCTAATTGGATGCATGTACTTTTGAAATTTGGGGACTAAAAGTTTTCCTATTCTTACTAGAGACGTTGGTTTTTATCTAAAAAGAAAAGAAATAAACCTTGAAAAACTAGTATAAAAACTCGGGACTTAAAAAGTTTTAAAAGGATTGGTGACATCTTGTGGTGAAGTATGGTATTACAACTTGTTATTGACTAAAAGAGACTTGGCTTGAAGCCCAGAATCTAGAAAAAACTCTTTTGACCTTGACAGATACCACCTGTGAAAAGCTTAGCTGTAAAGAAGGAACTGCAGGGTGGCATATCTGGCTTGTTTGAATTATGAAGATAAACCTTTACTGATTTTCAGAGTTATATGTGGGAAATTGTTTTCCTATTTCTTTACATGAGAAGTATCTGTGATTATACGAGGTAATAGAATACTTTGGACCATAAATTCTAACTTGGCAAACAGTTTCCACTATAAAGACTACCTACAACATGTGAAATAGATGTTCCATACCTAGCTATAAAAAATAAAAAACTATTTTTAATGTTTGATTTTAAAATCTTCAACGTAATACATTATCAAGAGAATATGGATGAAGATCAGGAAAAAATCCTTTTTATGTTGAAATCAATACACAAAATCATTCTTTCAGCGTGTAACAAAATAAGACATAAACATAAAGGAACAAGATGCCAGCTTAGGTAGACAAACCCAGATCTTGACTACAACCAAAGAACTAACAATGCAGAAGTAGCTGGAGAAGTGGAACAACTAAATTCTAAGATAGAGGACCCAACTGACCAACAGATCCAGCCAATGGGAAAAATAGAAAATTAGAAAAGAGAGTGATAACATTTACATAAATCAGAAGAAATTTGAGGAAAAGGAGGAAGAACAGATTGAATGGAAGATAAACTTATCAGGACAATTGTGGGAAATTGGAGTAATAGGGAGGTGATTAAATGAATACAATTGGGCTAGTTTTTAAATTAAATGGTCTTTCTTCCCCCCTCTGTACTCTTAAATGTCTTTCGTGGAACATAGCAGGTTGGGGGAGAAGGTGTGGTACTATAGAATTTACCAACTATATTCAGGCATTTGATGTGGTTCTGCTTCAGGAGACTTGGGCATGTGATAAGATATCCCTTACAGGGTTTACGGCCACCTCCTTGGCCGCCATCAAACAATTGGTGATGGGAAGACCCAAGGGTGGTTTGGCTTGTTTGGTCTCTACCTCTTTAAAGCTGGAGACAGTGAAGCTGTCCCCCTGTGGCTCTTTAGCTATGGCGCTCCTAATTAAGAGAGGATACAGCAAATTGCTAGTGTTTAACGTCTACCTCCCTCCGACGGTGAGGCAAGCCGACATTAAGGCTCAATGGAATGAACTGGAGAACTATATTACTTGCATTGAAACAAAATTTCCAGCGCTATACACCCTTATAGGGGGTGACTGTAATGCCCAACTGGAAGTCCAAGTTCCTCCATCGATTGAGGCACTTTACTCCCAAGAAATCCTTCAGGTAATAGGCCATCAGATTTCAGCTAAACATTCTAAGGATGAACTAACAAATTTTGCTGGTATTCAGTTAACACTTTTAGCATCCCAACATGACAAGATAATCCTTAACGGGAGTACCCCAGGTGATCTAGTCGGTGAGTTTACTTTTAGTTCCTCATGTGGGAGTAGCATTATTGATTTGTGCTGGTTTCTCAGTTACTAAGAAAGGCAGTCTATGCTTTCTATGTGGACTACTGCACGGAGAGCGATCATTACCCCCTGGTTACAATTATTGGGCTTTCCCCAAATATACACTTAACTAAAGGCCCCCAGATATTGGATCCCCATGCGGCCTTCTATATAAAGAGGATCAAATGGTCTTCTAACACCGAAAGAAAGTTCCACTCCTTTTTATCATCTCCGGAATGTCTTAGCCTTTATAATCAGGTTCTAACAAGTAGTGGCTCAGAGACAATCTTGGCCTTTGAATCACTAATTAATAGTGTTCAAAGGGAGCTAGGAGCCGATTGTAGGCCAAAGGGTCCATATCACTTAAGAAGCAATTTCTGGTTTGATAAAGAATGTCTGATCTTAGGAACCAGATTAACCGGGTTTACTTGCTTTACCATAACCGTGGGGACAAATGCCCACCAGAGGACTATTACCGCATGAAACAGGAGTGTAAAGGGCTAATTGTTAAGAAAAAGAGGGCTAAAGAGAGAGAGAAGTGGGATTTACTTCTCTTCTCTATTCAGCAGAAGAACACCCGACTATTCTGGCAAATTGTTGCCAGCTCTCTTTCTGATTACCAAGAACTCCCTCTTTGCTGTATTTCTAACAGAGATTGGGAAAATCATTTTTTGTCAATCTTTCAGGCTTCAATAATTTCGACCGAGCTTGGATCACAATTGCCTCTTGCAATTCCTATATGGCAACCCATGACTCATGCTGAAATCGCTGAGCTTATCTCAGAACTTAAGTCAGGCAAAGGCCCTGACCCCGATGCTATACCCCCCATTTTGCTAAAATCTAATCCCGAGTGGTGGATTCCTCTTTTGGCAACACTCTTCACCCATATTAATTCCTCTGCTAGGATTCCTATCTCTTGGAGTCTAGCAATTATTATTCCAGTTTTTAAATGAGGAAACAGGAACAACCCTGCCGATTATAGCCCTATAAGCCTGCTTTCCATCATTGGGAAATTGTATGCTAAATAGCTTCAATGTAGACTCCTCATTTGGGTTGAGGAGTCTAACATTATTGGTGCAGAGCAGATTGGGTTTAAAGCGGACTGTGCCACATTGGACCACTGTTTTGTCCTAGCACACCTGGTTGATAAATACGCTATTACACCAGGTGGCAAACTCTTTACTGCTTTTATTGATTTAAAGGCAGTGTTTGACTCAGTCCCTAGGGAACTGTTGTGGTCAAAATTGCACAGAAGTTCTATTGACAGATGTCTTTTGATCTTAATCAGATCTTTGTATAATCAGACCTCTAGCCAGGTTAGGTGCGGCTTGCAGGGAGAACTTTCAAATCCTATCCCGATTGAGAGCGGAATTAGGCAGGGTTGTGTCCTGGCCCCTCTTCTGTTTAATCTATTCTTATCCTCTTATATTGAACGCATTGAGTCCCATGCCCCAAAGTTGTTAAATATGAAGATTCCGCTTCTTCTTTATGCTGACGATGCGGTCCTTCTATCACAATCAAGGCTCGGCCTAAAAAGATTACTTTGTGCATTTGGGTCCTATTGTGCTGAGAACCATTTGTCTATTAATTATGACAAATCCAAAGTATTGGTATTCTCTAGAGCCCGGAAATTATAAAACTGGGCTATCAATGGTAATGTTGTTAGGCAGGTATTCCATTTTAAGTATTTAGGTATTCAATTTCAGAATATTGGTGCTTGGACTAATCATCGAACCCCAGGTGCTGAATTCGGCCTCCTGTAGCCATCAGCAGATTATAAGATTTTTTTTTACCCAAGGAGGCCAGTTTATTCCTTCTGCTCTGCGTATATATCAAGCCAAAACCCTGGCCCAAACTCTTTATGGAATTCCCATATGGATACGAGGCTTCAAGGACTGTATTGAAAATACCCAGGCTGTTTTTCTTAGGAAACTTCTGGGTCTTCCTCCCTGTGTTGGATTTGCTTCGATGTACCTGGAACTGGGCATTCGTTCAGTCGAATGCATGGCATGGATTAACACCTTCAAATGGTGGTTTCGGGTGCTCTTTTCAGCAGCTCCTGGTAGCTGCCTCTCCCTGTTGTTTGCTGATTCTCATACTTCTCCTTGGGAGAGGGAGCTGACGAAGAAACTCCACTTGCTAGGTTTTACAGGGGATGCTCTGGGAGATTATGGTCTCAAGGATGCCCAGTTTAGGATAGTCCAATGGCTTGTGGACATAGATATGCAATACTTAAGAGCCAGAGCCAACAAAACCTGCTCCCCTTTGATCTTTAGCCATTCTAATAATTATGGATTGAGGATGGCCTCTTATTTCTATACTCTAACCATCCCCAAGTATAGAAGAGTCTTTTCTCTAGTCCGTTTCAATGTCTTGCCCTCAGCACTACTCAATGGGCAATTCAAGAGGCTCCCGTTTAGTGAGTGATTGGGTTGAAGTTGAAACTGTGGAGCATGTCTTATTATACTTCCCTATGTATAATACAGCCAGAATTAAACTATTGCCTCTCCTTGGAATTGATCC